CGCAGTGCGGCCGTCAGCACCACACCAGTGCTTGTTCTTCTTACTTGCTGCTACTGTGGTGCTGCTGACCACAGTTGAGAATGGTGGGGGTTTTATCTCCCCGCAAACGCATCTTTTGTAGGATGAACACCACTGCCCTCTAAAGGGAAAATGGGTGAGTCTTCTCCCGCTGCTTCTGCTCGGGCTTTCCCCATCCAGCCCTGCTAAGGCAGCAGAGCTGCTCTTTTAAGATCTCCGATTTTAGATCTAGTGGCTGTGCATTCAGCTCTGAATGCTTCAAATGACACCTCTCGAGAGTATCAGCCCCAGTAATTTGCGCTGGTTGCCCAGCATGGGTGAGGAGGGCTGGATACTTGGCCCAGGTTCGTGGGTGGTACAGCAGAGCCACCACCAGCTGCAGCCAGTGGTGGCCGGGTTGGCTCCCCTGCAGGAGTGCAACATCTGCACTTGTCTCAGCCTCCGCACCGCACTCTGCAAAAACTGTTTTCCACGCACATCGCGGTGATGCTTTCACTCGGTGCTGCCACTTGATGAGTGCGGTTGCTCACCGCCACGGCGTCACTCTGCGTGACAGGCAGCGGCCATCATTTTGTCACAGCAAAATCAAAGCTGACAACACAGACAAGCCGTAATGTCATGCAATTAATTTTAAAAGTCTTTCATCTTCAGAGGAAAAAGAAATGCATTGCCAATTCACAGCTCCCTCCCAGGTCAGAGGGATGCCACGCTGCTGCGGCTGCAAAGTGAAGCCTCGTGCTGGAAACGTTCGCACGTACGACTGAGAAGCGCTGTGAGTCCCACCACTCACAGGGCCACAAGACCACAGGGCTACGACCCTTTGCAGGGTTGCAGCCACGGCATGAAGAGAGGTGGCCATCTGCATAGTCAGCAGTTCTCACTACTGACTGCCATCCAAGACTGGGAGGCAGGATGACATTAGGGACCCTGTCCCAGAGAGCTGATTTTAAAACTTCTTTTTTTTTTTTTTTAAATATTAACAGTGGAACACACTGAGTGATTTTAGAAAGAAGCTAACTGAATATTCCATTATTATTAAAACATATATCGAGTGTACAATTTATGTAGCTTTATAGAAAGAAATCTGCAGTTTTTAAAGCTCTGAAGTGTTAAGAGCTGTTCACAGGTAAATCTTTGCTGAGGCTCAGGTTCTCAGCTGCAAAGAAAGGAGGGTCTTACTGTGCCCTCAGGGGAGAACCTCAGCTTGAAAATTAGTTCAGTGCCAGAAAACCCTGCCTCAAGGCAAAGCCTTCTTTTATAATCTGTTCACTAATACAAAAGTGCATTAATACAAATATGGCAAGTGGATGAATCTAATTTGTCATGTTGCCCCTGGGCAGACTAGGTCTAACTTTTAGCCTAATTTCGTTACTCGGTGGTTAAGTGAACCATCTGATCTTGTACCCTGTGGTCATTACTAGCTGTTAGAGGTGAAAAGTTCACTGCTTCAACAGATTTTCCCCTATGAGTATTTGCTTTGATTCTTCTTCCCCTGAAATTACGTTTTGGCCTAACTTGAGGTAAAAGCCTACGCTTAGGAAGCATAATCATGTGCTTTATTAGATTTATTAGACCAGATTTATATTTAAGGCCTATGAAAAGGTCTACAGAATTCTACCAGCGTTACCTGTCTTTCTATATCCTCCCCCCTCCTCACTTCTGTACGTTCATACATCTCTAACACAATGAGAGTCTCAGGCAATGCCTGAGATTCCTGGATACTCCAGGGAGGTCTACACTAGGCACAGGTGATCTCCTAGCGTTAGTCTTCATCTTAAATGTGATTCTCTCACAATTGCCATATCATTTTTTCCCCTTATTAAAGCAATTTTGTACTTCCAGTAAAAATCTCTTCCCTCCTCCTCCACTCACAGCATAAAAATCATTGAACTCCTGAGTGAAGAGGATAATTTTGTAAGCGTTTCTATGCTGAAATGTTGGGTTTAACAAAAAACGTGGCTGACCCTTTCTTTAGCACATACGTTCCTCTGAAAGGGGTAAGTATATGAAAACTGAACCCTCTTGGATTTCTGTAATTTAAGGATGAAAAGCCTTACTGAACAATTACGGTCTTCTACTCTCTGACTTCCCAGATGTCACTGCAGGTTTCCCTGCCCAGTATTTAGCTTCAGGGGAGGGCAGTGCTCATGAGAGGTGGATTTACCCCACCTCTCATGGGGTAGAGAGGGTTGCAGGTTGCCCCTCCTGGCTCTGTGGCCACTTGCTGTAAAGCCAAACAAGCACGAACTCTCTAGAGCTGCCACTGGGTCAGTGGTGTGTTCAAGCTTTCTCCATCTTGGAGCTCAATGTTGCTAGAATAGCTTGGAGTCGTGCACTGTCACAACAGAGGAATGGCCCTGTGAAATGTAGTACTGCCATCCTACGCCTAGACAGAAGCTCACCTTGGGCACAACCTACTCCAAATATAGTGCTTAGCAATTTTATCAGCAGAGATGCTGAGAAAACGAGATAGGAATTATAGATCTGGAAGAAAAATGCCAAGAAATGGAAACACAGAATAACTGACCGAACTATTGTTGTAGCCACTTAATCTATGTTAGAAAATGAATGCAGAAGGGGAGAAAGAGGGTGTTTTCAAGGCGTGCCTGAGACCAAACTGAAGTCATCACCTGAAAATTAAAATAAATCTCAAAATGCAGACCGGGAGAAAATGTGGTATCAAGCAGCAGTGGAAGGGAGTGAAACTGGAACAGGTATGTGCCCATACATTGGCTTCACGACTGACAGCAATGCTTTGGCTCCCATCACCAGGGCAGATCCATATAAATTGAATTAAGTTCACCTGAGGGTTCCGAGAAGGGTGAGGAGAGCAGAGAGCATATTTTTCCAGCAAGAAGCTATGGAAGATAATCGTTTTTTCAGCCTTGCAGAGCAAAGGTTGAAATGGGTACAATTGTTCTCTACAAGTACAGGAGGGAATAAAAACTGGGTAAAGATAACAGGTATTTGAGAAAAAGGACAACTTAGGCATGAGAACAAATGGGTATAAGCTGACCAAAGTATACCTTGGCTGCAAATTAGAGGAGTAGGTTTGCTACTGAGTTACTGAAACAACTGTGAATATGACAGCCTAACTGGTAGACAAGTGAAAGGAGTGATACGAGGTGGCTACCAGTGGTCACAGGAGGCTAGACTTGCCCCTCAAAGTCTCATTAGGTTCTGATTTCTGCTCTCCTTAACAGCAATGGGACCAGAATGTGATCTTCTCCCCCGCCACAGGCAGGGTTGGTTTTAGTTGTGACTTGAAATTGCACAAGATTTGTTCTCTAAAAAGAGTCCTTGTTTACTTCAGAGAATGGAGGCATTGTAGATGCAGAAAGGATTGAAAATCCTCTCAGAAAAAAAACCTGCCACTGACTCTATTTAGCAACATGATCTTGAAAATCTTGAGATTTGACAAGTTCCTATAATATGGAAAATCTTTAATCAAAACCATTGCAAATGTCATTTTTCCACCAGTGGCCACACGAAGCCCCACTGGGGCAAAATCAAAACAGTGGAAATTGCACTCCCATCTGCAGTATTATCTCACACCCTGGGAAAAATCCCAGAACCCAAGTACTGTATGAACAGATGGGAAACAGAGCAAAACAGCTGATGACTCCACATAATGAGTCTTAATGGCCAGGGGAAAGAAAGAAAAAAAAAAGCAACAATAGCAAAAATCCATTCAGAATATATCTGTTTATTAAGATTCAGCTCAGTGAAGTTTGAAACAGGCAAGGTAATAAACATGCAAACCAGCGTTAATACAGTAATCGCAAAGTCAGTTCAATCCGAGAATTTGGCCGCATCTGTTTGATAATCCTGGGAGCAGCGATGGCAACAGACACTTCCCCTGTTTTGGGCCATCTCTTCTGAATGGTCTGCATCCATGCAGGGAGCCTGTCACTTAGGAGCGGTGGGATTTGGAAGCAAGGTAAATGGTGTGAAAATTCGGAGCAGAGGGAAGAAAATCACCTCCCTTTCAGCTGTGGCCAAACGTTCTGTGAGTCCTGATGGTCAGAAAGGGGCCTTGGGTTGCTTTAGTCAACAGGGAGCTAGCACAAAAGCAAAGCATTTGCCTGAGGCACTCATGCTGGCTTTTGTTGATGAGCTGTTGTTTTTGGGAACAGCTGGAGGTTTTATCTGGGTGTGCAGTGTAATGAATAGTTATGGTGGATGGTTAAGCCTAGCAGTTAAAGAGTCAGAGGCTGCTCTCAACCTATCACCGTGCCAATAGGGCATGCTCATTTGGCCAGCCACAGGAGGGGAAGCATGTCTGTAGCTATTTGGGTCCCTCACCGCAGTGAGCGAGCATCCGCAATTGGAGAGACGGATTTAGTGACTGGGGAAGATGTGAAGGAGCTCAGTTCTTTGACGAGTTTCCTTTTTCCCCAGTGTCACCCCGCTCTTACATTTGGGTCCAGCAGCAGCAAGTAACCTGCAGTAGGACGCTGCCTCCCTGTGACTTGCTTTTCTTTACAAGATCTGCCTTTCTGCAGCTGCATCTGGGTCACTTCTTGATGTCTGAACTCAATCTTCAGTCCAAGTGACAAAGACTGTTCTCTGCCTTCGCTTCTTCACTGTGCAGTCACCAAGCACAGCCTGGGAGCTGAATGTTCCTTCTCTGCCCTCCCAGGCATCAAAAGATTTTTTACGTGCTGCTGTTTCAAACAGGTCTGA